AGAAACTACAACTTAAAATTAATCTAAAAAATAGAGTACAAATTGTTCACTAAATGGTAACAAAGTTTCCCAAACTTCCTTAAATGTCAGGTTTTCAATCTAATTTGCGCTACCATTAGAATATATGATCCATTATTGCAAAACAACATATAAATTGTTTAACAGAACTGTGAAAAAACAAAATCAAATTTCAGCTTAAATCACCCAACATTATTAAAAAACAAAATAGAAATAGAAATAATAACAACAGAGGAAAAATAATATCAGTAGCCTAAGGGGACATTCCACAACTCGGAACAATCTCCTTCATTCCCGTCTCTGGACTCTGGCCCACGATCGTTTACGGACAGAAGCCCAAATGCCGAGCCCGGGTCCTGCATTAGGTCCAACGTCACTTGCCCACCAGCACTCCCCATGGGCCCGGCCCGAATCGAGCCACCAGCCCTGTAGCCATTACTATAGCTGTCATGACCCACAAGGTAATTAGAGTGGGCCATGAGGTTCCTGTGGGCTAAGGCGGAGGCCCGATTCTCCGCAATGAGCTCACGCAGAGCCGCGCTACACCTGGCGGGAAGATCTCCATCGGACGGTGAGGACAGATGCCACGCGGGATTTTGGTTGACCGCCGATGTAGATGACGTGGATCGTGATGACAGAAGAGAGTAAGCACACTCGCCCGAATTAGTCAGAGGCGGTGCGCGTGACCTGCCTGCACCCATCATATTCATGTCTGCAGGAAATAATTGTACTGATTAGTTGGGGCAATTTATGTGTATTTATAAATAAAGTCTATTATTGCAACAACAACAAGTGATAATAATAATAATATATTAATTATTGAACCACGTGATATTAATAAGCTAATAGAAGACAAACTTCATAAATGGATTTAGGAGTTAGGACCACACTTGACTCAAAAGTGGTCTGAGGCAAGTTGTTACATGGTAGAATATACTTTGGTTTGATGACAGATGTATACTTATCCTATGAGTTTGGAACTCATGGACTACATAAAATCTACGTGTTCCTTTATTAAATTGGACTTGAACTACAAATTCCAGGTGGTCCATTTGCATTAAACTTAAAGATTCATTTATTTACAAACATTAATGCTTGCAAAATATAAAATTGATTACAAGTTGAGTGAACAATTGGATATTAACTATTAAGTTAGGCCTGCTACTACTGCCTACACAATATAGGTATAGATATGCATAACTTTATTAAGTACTATATTATGTTTTAATTTTATTTTTCTTTCAAAATATTAGCATAAACGTATCCATGACACATGATAGTTTAACTATTAATTTAATTTTAAAAAAAGACTTAAATTACGTATCACGAGTCATACGAGAATTTGTGAAAAATGAATAAATTACCTTGAGAATATTTCCGGTGAAGAGGATGGTTTTGTTCTTGGGAACTCTTTCGTCTTCTCTCGTTGTGGCCGGCCAATCTCCGTCTGCAACTCCTCTTTGACTCGTCAAACTCCCCTACTACGTGAAACCTGTTTTCGTATAATTCAATTTAATTTTAATATAAAATTGAAAAATAAATATAACAGAGGAAAAAATAAAACAGGAAAAATGAAGTATGTCCAGTATATGGTGCACATGAATCATGATAATGTTGCTCAACAATATTATGATAACTGAAAATGTCAACAAGCTAATCAAACACGTGAATTAATTAATAACTGTTTCAACATTTCTCTATAAGTTATGTGATAGTTTTTAATTTTTCATTAATCATGTTTTGCTTGATTTTTAATGACTAATAACATGACTAGATAAATTTACATCTAACACAAATTAATCAGCATATCTCTAATTTTGCGGAAAACAAAAAGACCTGCTGCACTGTTGACAGAAGCGCTGTTCGGTCCCGAGAATCACCACTCGAGGGGCCTTCGCGTGCATCTCACACACCTTGTGCCGCCGGTGGTACTCCTTGGCGTTCGCCAGCGCCGACCCGCACCCCTCCACCTGGCACCGCGGCACCACCTCAGCCGCCGCCTCCCCCCCGCGCCACGCCTTCCCCTTCTTCCCGGCGGAGGATGGCCCCTCCGCCGCCGCGGGCCGCGGCGCACCGGCGGCGCCCTCGTAATACTGCCTCTTGCCCAGCTTCAGGCACGTCAGATGCGGATCGGCGGGGACCGCCGGTTGAACGGCGCCGCCGGCGGCCGGCGCGAAGCTCAGTGGGCCGTGATGGGCGTAGTTATAGTACTCGGATGATTCCCATGCATGGGTGGGCCAATTACCGTTATGCCCTTCCAAGAGATGATCTGTACTAGTGCTGTTGCCTCTTGTACTGTTCTTGAAAAGGGTCCAATAGTACTCCATCTTTTTTTTTTTCTTTTCTCCCAACTTTCAGTGTGTGTTAGTGTGTTATTGTGGTACTAAAGTGGGCAATTTTAGTTAAGGAAAGTTAGTGGTACAAATGGAGAAAAGAGGAAAGTGCTGTTGTTGGGGTGGTTTCTTGTTTTTGCAATAAAAAAGTTTTGAAATAAATATTAATTGGGAGAAGGAAAAAAATGGGGATAGGGGTGTGGGTTTAAACTGTGTTCTACTCCGATAGGGTTATTCTGTTTCAAGAAATACAAACTGCAGGCTTTTTGCAGACTGGATGAGGTCATCATCTCATGCTTACAGAAGATATATGGCGGAAAAATTAACACGACAATAGAATTTAGACAAATAAATTGAATAAGTGTAAAAACAATGGAGAAGCACATAAATACATAATACGTACAAAGCGAGTAATATTGAGTTATTGATATATATGAGGGTGGGCTTATATAATTATGTCTCTATATCTATTAATTTTTAATGAGTTTGATATTTCTTCATGGCATTTGCATATAAATATATTGTTAATGAACTTTTAACGAGACAACATATGTAGTTGTCCAGTAACTTCATACTAAGGTTTGAGTTTGACTCAGTAAAATTCATTAACAACTAAATTCGAACTTGTTTATTAGATCATTAACCTCGGCTCGATGAAAGCTCGTAGCCTGACTTTTAATTATCAGAAACTCGATCGCTTGCATCTTTTAATTACTAGCTAGTTAAATGCGGCACTTATTTTCTTTTATTTTTGTTTTTTCATTTTTATATGTGAAGTTGTATGATCCAAAATATATTGCAGCTAGATTTAGAAAAATAAAAATAGAAAGAGGAAAAGGACAAAGTAAACTAAAGTGGAGCAGTAGGGTCTTGAAATGATTATTGATTAGAATAGTCGGAAATGGAGACTGGACAATAAATTAAAACACAGTACAGATATGATGGGACTCGAGCAAAAGTAGTGTATGTATATATCTCACACACACACTGTTAATACAAAAGGAGGTAGTTATCTTACATAAATGGAGTATTTTTGTTGGCGGTTTTATGCAACTGAATTAACATGCTACTGATTCTAAGAAAGGCAACATAAGATGTTTTATCTACGAAAGATTTTTCAACCTTTTGCCTTAATCTGAGTCCGCTATTTATGGTCAGGGTTGGTAATTATTTGTCAACTTAATTAGTTCAATTCTGTTCATTGAGACTTGATAATTAAGTTTAGCATAATTTCGGTCTTTGAGGCTGGTTGATAAGTCTTTACTCGATCGTTGACTTAACAAAAAGAGTTTGGTTCAATATGATAAGAGTTCGAGCTCGAGTTCAACTATAAGAAGTA